CTGAGAGGAGATTGGCTACAATATCTTAAATAATCCATTTCCAATGTTCCAAGCTTCAAATTTGTATTTTGACCTTTATTTAAAGCTTATATTTAGCAGACAGTTACTTTCTGCTTTTTCCTGAGGTTGTGATGAAGCATTTTGGCTGTCCATAGCAGACTGACATAAAATCATCTTTTTAACGTATACTGCATATAAGTCAACATATAAAGTATTAAAGAAACTGCAAAATTCTCCATAAAACAAAAATATTTTCTTAGCTTCTATTTAGGATCAGAATTAAGTAATATTTTTACTGGAGATGTTATCTGATAAAAATAAGATGATTTGTTGGAAGTACTATATTTAGGGACAAAGAACTGCAAAAATGTACAGATGGTTAGGGAACATGTCCTGGTGCAGGGCTCACATGAATCACAAGCTCAGCAGCTGCTCAGCCTGGAGAAGAGGAGGCTGAGGGGAGACCTCATGGCTGCCTACAGATCCTCACAGGGCAGCGCTGAGCTCTGCTTGCTGGTGACAGCAACAGGACCTAAGGGAACCAACATGGAGCTGCATCAGGGGAGGTTAGGGGTCAGGAGAAGGTTCTGCACCAGAGGGCAGCAGGCAGGCTCCAAGCTAGCAGAGCTCAAGGAGCTCTTGGATAGTGCTCTCAGACATTAGATTCTGGGTGGTCCTGTGTGGGGCCAGGAGCTTAACTCAGTGGTCTTTGTGGGTCTTTTCCCACTTGGGATAATCTATGATAATGTGTCCTGTTGAATGTCTTTTGGGCGACTGCAACAAATAAAAGGGTATTTTTTATTTCAAGTAGCTTTTATTTCACTGTACTGTGAGCCAAGGCTATTATCTGCTAATGGAAATAAGAATTTTAGGGAAATCTCTGATAGTATGTGAAATAATCTTGTGTATATGTGTACGTATGTATGTATGTGTCAGTGATGGTAAGGGGAATTTTAGTTATTTCCGTATTGTTGGCAATGAAAAAAAGATGACATGAATTTTCATGTCTTACACAAAAGGAACTGTCAAAATAATTGATAGCAAGTAGTAACTACAGAAAACGCATTGCCTCTGTTAAGAAGGTGCTCCTCCTGAGTATCTGAGTACACCCGTCAGCATCAGCTGCTTGGATTATGACATCGAAAGAGTGTAGTAAAATTAATTAGAAGTATATTTTGTTTCATATGGAAAATTAGAAAGCATATATCTTTACCAAAACTGGAGTTTGTCAACCAAGTGGATTTGTGAGGTTTTTCAGCCATACAATTACAAGAAGTGCATTAAAAAAAGTGTTAAATGGATGCCATATTCATTATTGAAATCCCACTGCTTTGGGTTAGAAGGAATAGAGGTACCCACACACTTTGCCAGCTTACATGGTCTTCAATAGTATACATACAGAACCATAGCATACCTTCCAGCAGGTGTGCATAAATTGATGTGGCAACATAGCATAATGTAAATAAATAATAGGTATGCTTCTTGCACTGTAAGATCAGTACAGTCATGTCTGTGTGTACAGAATTAATCAAGCAAAGTAATCAAGGTAATTTAATATCATGGATTCTTCCTATTAGGAGGTATGAATGCCTTTTTAGTTTCTTTGCACAAGTGCTTTTCCATATCTTGCACATGAGAATAAAGTTTTTGTCGATCATCAAACAAAATCTAACAGTGAAATCTTGGGATTTTCTACATTTCACTTCCAGACCATTTTCTTTGAAAGAAATAGGATTTCTTCAAGGAATTTTGATATCCCTGGAAAACTTGAACTTTATCAAGTTCCAGATAGTTAAAAGAAATCCGAAATTATCAACAGGCTAGATAAAGTATACAGTAGGCCCATGCCTTATGAACTAGAAGCATTTCACAGTTTATTTACCACACATTGTTTCAGAGCTCACTTAAGTTCCTACTTCCTTTAAGCCAAACCTGAAATATTTGATGTTTTTTACTCTTTATTTGCATGTCTGTGTTCTGCAGGTTTAGCCTTATGGCTATCCCAGTAATCCCACAGTATTTTATAGCAAAAAATACAGTGTACAAATAAACAAAAGAAGTTGGCATCTGTTCAGTTTTAACTGGTTTCTCTGTTTTTCACATGTGTAAAGGTCCTCATTCAAGGAGTCAGTTGGAGAGAATCAGTGTAGGCACATAAAATCCGTATGTCTCCAAAACTACAGGTGCAAACTTCATAAGGATCTTTTTGCAGGTCAAGGAGCACCATTTAAAATGCTTCCAGAATATGTTTGATACTTTTTAAGTGTGTTCTTTTAGCAAGAAGACAGTCCCCAAGCACACTGGGAAGTTTATCCTAACCTTGTGTCAATAAGCAATTTATTTATCTGTTATGCACGTAGTATTTATTGGTTGGTCGCATCTTAATTGGGTATCATTACTGAAAAAATAATGAGTTCTTATCCCTTAAATTCTCATTTTCTTTGTCAGCCATTTGTCAAGGGCTAGTATTCAGGAAGGAGCCTGTATGTCAGAAAGGTTTTGGGCTACTTATTTTGTTTGGGTACGGGAGCACCAAAAAGGTTGAAGAAAACAGAATTAAGTGTATTCATGGTAGAATATTCAAAATGGAACAGTTCTTTGGAACGTTATTTACCTTTTTTCCTCAGTAAACAACCCATATTTCATCAAATTAACATATCCTGCCTATATAGTGAAGTCAGTAAGTTCTGAGGTTTCTGGAGAGAGAGGTCTCAATTTATTTTGAAGAAATAAGGAATATTCTTCTAATGTTTCCTCAGCTTTCTTTGGTAGAAGGAATTAAGTTGCTAGTAGAAATTGTGCACGTATCCTGTTTAAGATTTAAGTGTTGGCCTGATTTCCTAACCTTTCTCACTGTTTTGAATGTTCAAGTGACAAGTAGCAGTGTGTTCAGCTTGCCATTCTCTAGAGTCCAGCTGAAAATGGAACATCTGTAGGCAGAGGTAAAATGATTGGATTAGGGTCAATGCTCAGAAGATAAGATTCCTTTTACAGAATAAAAGGAAAATTTGTATGAAGTCATTTTTAGTATCCTCAGGTATGAATGCAAAAGAGCACATGGAGGCAATAATTACATGGTTCATTATTCATTGACTTTAGGAGTGTAAGAAGATGCAGTTAAGGGAACTTCCAAATGCCTGATTTTCTACCAAGTGATTAGCATATTAATTCTTGTGTGCCATGTGTTGGATGCTACAGAAAAAGAGAAAGACAGATTATTTGCTCAGCAGTTTCTTCTGATATATACTTAAGAAATTGGAGCTATGTTATAGCATCTTTAAGAATATATTTTAATTCCTTGAAATAAAATTTTGATTAGAGTGAAACACATAGTGGCAATTGACTTTCTAAACAATGTCTTATAAAGTCAGCGTTTAAGGTGTTTAAGGATTCCTTTATCCTACAACATGCATAAGATGCTTTTCCTGATAACTTTACAGAAAACACACATGACTGTAGCAATAGGTTATGACACACATTCCCAAAATTCTTCTAAAATCTGAAAATTTGAACAACTCAACAGAAGAACGAAAATTTGAATGAATATGAAGGAACAACATTTCATGAGTCTTGGCATAAAGTTTTTATATAGGTGGACAAAATGTCACATCTCATTTTAGAAGACAGTGCCTCAGTACCTTCCAAACTGAATTATGTTTTTTTTTTTTTTTTTTAAATTTTTTTAACAAACAACAAAATTATTTTGATTATTCACCATTCTTTATATTTTTCAAACTAAAATTACTTTTTTTCTAAGATGCACCTATGTTTGCTCCCCCCCCCGGAAATATGAAGTCATTTGATATAAGTTATACCAACAAACTAGTACATGAGTGAGCATACGAAACTATCCTACCTCATTGATTTTATTTTGTAATGATTTTATATAGCATCCATGTTTTCAGAATGACATTTTGAAAGGCATTTTTTTCCGTTCAGTCTGCAAATGTTCCCTATACCAGATGTACAACTTGAAAAACAGCAATTCCTAAAAATACACAAACTGTCAGCTTTGCTTTACTGAAAGAAACTATAACTTCAGTTAAGATGGATTTCTATTTAAGTAAAGTATAAATATCTGAAATTATTCCCAAAGACTTGATGGCAATCTTATCTAATGGTACAAATAATTGCATCGTAAATGCATAATTTGAGTCAAAGTAGGGATAAAGGAGAAGTAAATTTGTTGTTGTAGGAGCTATTACTGCTGACATCAGTTCTGAAAACATCATCAATCTAAATGGCATGTTTAACCAAATAACTTGAGCTCCTGTTTTCTTCTCCCTTCAAACATCTTAAAAATAGCTCTTTCTTTGTTCTTAGACCTTCAAGCTGGCACAGCTGTAATATCTTTTAACCTGACCGTACAGAAAATATTACAGAATCACAAGGTTGGAAACGACCTGCAAGATCATCTAGTCCAAAGTATTTGTCCCTTAGTGTGCTAAACAAGCTGTGAAAATAATGTTATTTTAAAGAAACCTTCAAAAAAGCAAGTAATGATGCTTCCTTTCCACTTAGTTCAAGGTTAATTATACTTGTCAAGAAGGCACTGATAAAAGGCAGTGAGGAATTTGACAAACCGATGGCAACCACGCAGACTGCGCATCTCCAGCAGTTCTCATTTGTCAAAGTTGCACCCATTGATAAAGTCAGAATGAGGACAGCATTTCAGAAGGCTCATTTCTTCATTGTCTTTACACATAGTAAGTCAAGACAAAGAATTAGCATCTCATAAACTGTGATAGGAAAAATTTGACAAGCTGGTGGATTTTTTTTTTTTTTTTTTTTTTGAGGTTCTGAAATGACAGATTAAACCTCTACATTTCACAATCCTTCACTTCTTAATGTGAATGCATTTCTATTTGTATGAGTGTGGGTGTGCACATGCATAAAGTGAGATTAACGCAGTAAAGAATTCTGCTTAAGAACAAAGGCAGTTTTAGGGAATAACTTGGATAGAAGTACTGCTTTTGAAGTGCAGACTTTAAAACTCCTACCTCTCTGCAGATTCATCTGAATTTTCCTCTGTGATCATCTGCAACTCCTGTGGGGTTTTACTTGAATCTTCCTTGACGCAGTTTTCCTCTGTGTTTGCTTTGGGAATATCTTCATTTGATCGAAGCTGTTCTATGAGGTTTTGTTGATGCCAGGTTTGAATCGATCGGTGGTGCGCTGGAGTTGGACCGGGCACAGGCGCCAATATATTGTGGTGGACAGGACTGCTGTTTTTCTTCAGCCCATTTCTGTCCCGTGAGTGGTTCTTCAACCTGTTCTGCACCGGTGTCCCTCTGTGCTCATATCCTTCCTGCTGGTGGCAGCCCCCGGTGCCTGCGGAGCTCTGCGAGGGGTGGCTGAACCACCTCCAGCGGAGCCTCAGGATCTGCTTCACATCAAACTCTTTCTTTCCAGATACTGACATTGTTTCAGGAAAAAAAGAAAAAAAAAAAATCCACCAGCTTGTCAAATTTTTCCTATCACAGTTT